TGGGTTTAACGCAAAATATAGGAACATGACGGGAAAACAAAAAAACAGTCAACTTGGGAAATAACAAATGTTTTGTTTGTTTATGCATGCCATCATCATCATCATCATTTTTTTGTCATGGAAATGATGGAAATTGTCGTTTGACATGATCCGTTGAAGGCAACATTTTCACCGGGTTGTTTGAGGATTCGAATGATTGATGAAATACAAGAAATCAATCTCCAAACGCGTTCGATCGGGCTACCTTAGACCGTTTGAAGAGCACTAAAAATGGTCTTGGAGCCTATTTCACCATGGAGGGTCGAGCAGTGTGTTCCCGTCATTCAGACTACCTGTATCTTCACCGTGCAGCGTTTTTGGTTCAGTATCTCTGTTTAATCACTCGGCAGCCTCGAATATATTACCACTCATTCTTTGGCTGCATAAAGCGTTTTTTGACCAGACTTGACTTGACAGCTGAATGATAAAAGTATCCGTTAATTGGTTTTCTACTTTTCTCCTTATTGAATATACAGCTGCGATCCATTGTTCATCACTAGGGCGTCATTTGGCCTTAAAAATTAGTTCCATGTTGATGTGGTCAGGTGACTCCGGACAACAGGGTGATGAATCAGACTGTCGATCGAACCCCTTGGCTAACCAAGCAAGGGATAGTGACGGTGGTTTACGGTGTCAGTTAAAGGGCGTATATAGACCTGATTTCAAGTGATCGTAATCGGTGCATATTTGCACTCTTAGTGCGCGGTGCGGAAACCGTGACCATACCGTTACTAATAATAAAATCTACTGTACGCGTTAATTTGTTAAATACAGTTTGGGAAGATGCATTAAGGGATGCATTAAGTCTATGTAATAAAACTTGGGAATCAGGCAAAAGCGTGTCTCATCTAAAATCCCATAGCACGAAAGTAATCTTGTTCCGATTACGAGGCAAATCGTTTATTCGAACCAGAGAAACTTTTCTTTGCCACATAGTTACTGTGAAACCTAATTATCAATGATACAAAAAACGGTTTATTAAAGGTTTGATTAGGTTGCATATACTTACCTTGTACTCCTGAAGACGGTTTTTCAGAGGGGTTAAATCAACCTTTGAACAGTTACCCGTCGAAGGCTGATGAGGTCAACGGAAAAAAGAGAAAAGTAAACTTGAAACAAGAGAAACGTATAAAAATTGACCTTTAAGAAAGTATATGAACAGGGCTGATGATGAAGGATGAGAGTTGTATTTTAAGTAAAAATATGCTATCCCTCAAGCCGTTCATATTATATTCGTCAATCACGTTTTACAGGTACTACGAAAAGGATAACAGCAACCAAATCCAAGTCAAATTTAGGTTCTCACCCTGAATGCGGTTGTGGTGAGCACCTTTCAGTGAAATCAAGCACAGAACAGAGAAATTACCTGAGTACATTTTACAACGCACGAAAAATGAGTAAATAGTAAAGTGAACTATTTTCAACGACATAAGATGATGCTCACGTGTGTTAAGAGTGAGATTTTTACAAGTTCCCTTATTGTTCTGTGTGCTCGTGCATTCCATATTATTTGTTGTACTGCTTCCCTCTAATTTTTTCCGGTCTACCGCATTTGATACCGGGGCATACACTTTGTATAGCGTGCTAGCGGATCCTTTAAGCGGCTCTTAATGGATGACAATATTGGAAAATATCGATCATTTTGCCAATATTGAATAACACCGCTCACCCACATGACCCAATTGTGCCCCACTGTATCTCTGTTCTTAATAGCAGAACTTACCACAGGTTGTTACATGCTACAATTACGACCCACCGCCTTTTCGTTATTTTGTTACACATTTTTATCGGTCAGATGCCGCAAAAACCGATTTAGAACGCTCAAAAGGGTGATATCTTCTGATGACTATTATTATTTCGTTTCACATACCCTCTTCTATCATTATCATTGTAGCATATTAAAACTATTGAATCAATGTGATTCAATTCTCAAGGAGCACAATACTGAAAATTCCATTGGAGTGAGACTATTCGCAACTTGATTTGAACAGAAATTCAATGCAACGAAGCCGCTGATCACAACGTTTCATCACGTAAATTTGCTGCTCATTACCGGGCGGATGAGTGATTTTGACCCCAGCCCGGCAGTCAACACCATAAATCTTCTCCATCGCCTGTACGTCAGTCATGCTCAAATTATTTGAGAGGATTTTGCTAGCGTGGGTTGTCACCGAATCTGTCAAAGATGACACATCGATTTACATCATTCCTCTGCGCGCTGCACGCTGGAAGCCGTTGCCTGTCTTCTCCGCTCTACTTTCGGCTCTAGACAGGTGTAAGACCGTCAGGATGGTGTTCCTAGACTACAAAAACGCATTAAGCAGTCTCGACCGATTGGTATTGCTCAATTTGATTCCACAAAGTGATATTAATCCGAACGTTTACTGATTGGTCCACGATCACTTCATAAATTATAGGGGTTTCACGTGCTTGTTCGGCAAGAAGTCTTCAACTCGCCCAGTTGTTTCTGGTGGTCAGCAAGGCGCAATTTTTAGCCCACATCTACAGCTAATCTCATGCTATGTCGCACCTCTGAGAAGTCGCATTTTCTAATATCTTCCCACTTTTTGAAAACCCAAACCAATAGTATGCAAATCAGCGTAGTTGCTGACCATGCGATGTCGCAGTTCCTGATACGTACTCACTTGGCGGTTGACCGATGCTCGGGAAGACCATTGACCATCCACTCTGAAAGGTTGCACTCAACCAATGACGTTTCACCTAGAGTGAAGCGTTTATGGCACTGCTCACTGATTGGATAACCCTTTCGAGGAAGTCACACTGATGCATGTGATCGGAAAACAGTGTTATCTGACGTCAAAATGTGCACCCGAACCAGTAATGATCAATCTGGGTCATTGCGTTGTAAAACAGCAAACAGTCTGTCAAAAGCCACGGCTCCATACGCTGTGTTAGTAACCCGCTCCTTCATTCATTTGCACCAAATTACTTTAAAATCGATAGTGGAATGAAACACGATTTCGTTCTGATCATCAGTTTAGTTCTGCTTTTATAACCATTAACCATGTACTTCTGCTTATCGGCTTTGGTTGCCATCACCTGTCTGACTATTGGATAAAGGAGTGAACGGAAAATTGCAATGTTCGAATCCGTATCAGATTGGAAATACAGAATTCAAGGTTGCAAGGACATTGAGTAGGTGCCCGAGCGCCACTGATCACGACACTCAACCATATCACTTAGTATCTCTAAACTTTACAAAGCAAAAAAGCAACTATTTCAAGTGCATATGTACACTTCAGCAGTGGTTCATTTCAGTTCAGTTTGCACAACCATTGACCAAGCATATTCGTGCGCCGGTATTGGTTGCTCTCTTTTGGCTACCCATTTGGATGAAGAAGAGGAGAAGAAACGAAAGCTGAAAGTGGAGTCAAACAGAAAATGGAGAAGTTCAGTGGTGTAAGATTACAAAGAAATTGAGGAGATGTACGAAAACCACGGTTTGCGACAGCCAGCCATATCACTGTGTCTCTAACCTTCGGTTACGATCATCCCGAGATCCCCAGCCAGGGAGCCTAACGGAGCCTACGCGACCCAGATTCCTGGTTAG